AAAAGTCTATTTCAAAATGTACACTTTTTTCTCTTCACAGCTAATAACAAGAATGCGCCCGTCTGGTGCTTTTGTCATCGTCGTAGGACTAGTTAAACAAGTGATACTACTGCCTATGAAGTGACCATCTAAAGAAAACTGCTGAACTCGCTTATTGCCAATGTCACATACTAGAAGATTATTGGAGCTGTCTACAAGCAAACCACGCGGCGTTTTAAACTGTCCATCTTGATTCCCTTGTTTGCCAAACTTGTATAAGAATGTTCCTGTTTGATCAAAAGCTTTGATGCAATGGTTACTTGCATCAGATACGAGAAACATGTTTTTGTGAAGAATGCAACAGTTTGGATGATGGAGTTTCTCTGGGCATTTGTCTCCAAATGTGAAAATAGACTCTCCTTCCTTTGACATCACCTGTATCCTACCATTGCCATACTCGGTTACAACAATTCGTTCTCCATCATTCACAGTAACGTCTCTTGGCCAGCCAAACTCTCCTTTTCCTCTGCCTTCTTGTCCAAAACTTTTCACAACAGTTCCTGTCTGAATATTAAGTCGTTGTATTCTGCAATTGCCTGAGTCTGCAATCAGGACTTCGTTGTCATTTAAAAACGAAATGCCATCAGGGCACTGAAATTGTCCTGTATTGCTACCCTTGCTTCCAATCGTTGTCAAACAGTTGCCATTTTTGTCAAAGAGATAAACACAGTGGCTAAAGTTATCTGTGGCAACTATCTGGCCTTCTGTATTCACAGCAATTCCATATAACCATTCCAGCGAGTCCCTTGGGGAGAGCTTTAACTTCAACCCACCGACCACAACAAGTTCACGTTCCTTTACCTGCACAGTCATTGGACAGGTCGGCAGTTTATCGCCATTGATCTTCACTACAATGCTGTAGGCCCCAGGTACTTTGGGAGTAAATTTCAGGCTAACATTTCCATCGTATTCCTCATCAACAGTCACGTTTGTCACGTCTTTGGCGGGTTTTATTAGCAATTCGACTTGATCTTTGAGATCGGCGTAGTCACCCATCTCTCCTCCAGATGTCCCTGAGCACAATGTAAACTTTGCTTCTACACCAGCTTGAAAAGTTTGATCCAGTCCTTCAAGAGTTAATTTAGCTGCGATATCCGGCTTCTCGGAGATTTGAATAGAACCCAGTTTAAAGTTGTGTTGCGTTGCGGCGGTAAATTTGACAAATGTAGCCTGGCGATGTTTTGGAACTTCAACTCCACGAAGCTCTTCAAGTTTCTGCCTCAATTTCTTTTTGTTCTGTATGATATCCGCAGTTGATCCTTGTATAAGATTCTCCCCAAGTTCAGCTGCTTGGTTCATTTGTTTTACCAGAGATTTCAGTTCTTGTTTAGCCGAGTTAACTCGCTCTAGTCTCCTCCTACGTGTCATTTCTAAGGACTCTAAAAGTTTCTTTTCTTGTTGTCGCGTCTTTGTGATCACGTGTGCAGTTGCCTCCGACACTTCTTGTTTAGCGATTGCGATAATCATTTCCACATCCTCTGATGCTTTTTCTAATTTTATTAACTCTGCTCGAAACAAGTTTGCTTTTTCCTTGATGGTCTCGACAGTCAACATAATGTTTTTCTTCTCCTCTTGCACTGCTTTTTCAAGCACGTTAAACGCATGGCCTCGATGGTCTTCCGCAACGCAAATAGGACAAATACATGCTTCACACGAGGAGCAGTAATATCGTACTCTTTCTTCTGTATGTTGCGAGCAAGTCTCCTGTTGTTGCCTCGGAACGGCCTGTTGATCTTCCGCTTCAAGGAAACCTAACAGACTTTTTTGAAAAAAGGCGTTAGGCAAAAGGTCGAAGCGATTTCCTTGCGGTAAATCGATTTCTACCTGACACTCGGGGCATCGGAATTTTCCTTGTCTCTGGTTCACTCTTGCATGTGTCTCTAAACACTCACTGCAAAATGTGTGAAGACATGATATAGTTTTAGGTTCATTGTAGGTATCGAGACAAATCGAGCAAGTAAGTTGTTTCTTGAGGTTCTTCGCAAGAGGATTCATGACGATCGCCTTAAACTGTCGTTAATTGATGTGTTATTAGAGCGACGAGCCCTGTTTAAACACTCATACGAATTCCGAGAAAAATTAGCACAAAGTCTATGACAGCTGACTTCCTCTAGCCAATTGCATTTCAGGACTTAGCTGGCCCTTTTGTAATGATAAAAATACGTTGTTGTCTGGATGAAGCCTCGATTTTAGACAACTAAACTTAGCTTAATTAAAGTTGCTTGAAATAAAAGCAATTATAGACAGCTAGGAATTTGACTAAATGGGATTTGGAAAAACGTAGCAAACGAGGTTTCGTGTACGAGATTTGTTATAGAACGAAATTAAGTTATTCTAGTGGTTTGACATTGTCACGGACAACAGTTGTTTTAAGGGCCACTCCCACTCAGAAGTTTGTACAACTCAATCGTTTCACAGTAAGACTGCAAATCTTATGGTGAGATTGTTCTTCTCGAGGCTGTCGTCGATGGGCATTTGAAGGAGTGCGAGGAAGAAATGTTAAATTGCCTGTAGCTTATCAAAAGGATGGGCAGTGCGTAAAAACGTTCAAACAAACCGACTTTGTTTTAGATTCCTAGAAAACAGAACAAAGTCAGCCGTCAACTACTTTGTTGCTTAGGCTGTCACTTCTTGGCTCCGTTGACCTCTATGAAGTTAGACTGTTTATCTATTGCGAAATGATTGAAGTGACTTTACAGTTGTCTTGCTAAGAGGCTTAAAATTTTTGAAAATCTGCCGTTGGGTAAAGGATGAAAGAATTCATGGATTTAAACTGAAGGGTAAACTTCGGTACCTCACAAGAGGGAAAGATTTAAATGAGAAACGTAAAGATTCTAAAAAAGCACAAAACGTTCGTAACGGATTCATTTTACAAATCTTTTAGCCTTTATCACGGCAAAGCGGTTTCAGTTACAGTTACAGTTACAATCGGGAGGATCTAGGTACGAGATTAGGCCTTTATAGTTCTTTAAAATGTAATCAATGCCTCCTTCCCTCCTCTTCCCTTTCCTCGTGTTTTCTCAGTTATTCCGTCGTCAGTGGCAACCCCTTCTCGCACGAAAAGAAATTTGACTGACAACAACGTCATTAGCTGAGACCGACATAATAATTCGTGATTCACATTCCTCTGGCGAGACATTGGACTGTATTTCTCATCTATCTTATTAGGAGGTTGTCCTCGGTTTAGTCATTCCCAGAGATCTTTGAAAGCACAGATATCTAAACGCTTATGGTTTTGAGGACATCAGTGACTGAAAACAGAAAATAAATAGTTTTATTTTGAAAAACCTTGAAGCTGCTTTTTACGACTATATATAAATTTCCGAGAAAACAGAGTGAAATCTGTCATGACTTGACTGACCAAATTCAATAGGTTAGTTGACCTCTTCAGTTTGTTACTTACAACTGCTTATCTGTCGCCATGTAACTTATTTTTTAAACATATTCCTTTCAATATCCTGGAATTTGATTGACTGTCGAATCATTAAGGCTCTTAAAGCGAGATACAATTTGTAGAACTGGGAAGCAACAAGTGAATCGAAGGTTAAAGAAATAACAGACGATACTTCAATTTACTCGTAACAGTTGACGATGTAAATCATACTTAATAGTTTTAATCTTAATGGACAGAGTTATCATCGAAACGTAACGCCGTCACTATAATAAAATCGACAATTGCTAATCGAGGTGAGATGATCAAACATGAACGGACAGTTTGAATTATTTCTTATTTGTTGTAAGTGCTGTAGCTTTTATTATTGAATAGAGTATGTTGTTCAACAACATCAGTAATCGTGAGGGAATGAGAGTATTTTGTATCTTCAGGTCATGCAGCAAGGCACGCGAGCTAATTTATGCAAATAAGCCACTTGTCGCTTGTTTATTTCCCTTCCCGTTTCGCTCGCACTTTTTTCGCGAGAAATCGGGGAGAGGGGGAGAGGGGGGGGAGGGGGAGAGGAGGGGAGGGGTATGGAGCGAGTGGAGAGTTAAAAACGAACTACGAAATCTTTAAATTTTCTTGCGCTGGATCTTTATCTCAACAAAAAAAAATGTCCACTGATATATTCATATTAATTATGGATACTTCCCATTTGTCTGAACTGACTAGAAGTTTCTCTGTAGAGATAGGTCCGCAATAGTAATTCTTGTTTATTTGCTAAAAATAACGTAAACTTTGCTTGTGCCCCAATCTGAAAAGTTTGATCCAGTCCTTCTAGACTTGATTTGGCTGCGATTGTCGGCTTCTCGGAGACTTGTATAGAACCTTGTTTAAAGTTGTGTTGCAATGCGGCGATAAATTTGATAAATGTAGTCTGGCGATGTTTTGGAACTTCGACTCCAAGAAGCTCTTCAAGTTTCAATTTGTTTTTTGTTGTGCATGATATCCACAGCTGATCTTCTCTGCACCAGATTCTCCGCAAATTCAGACGTTTGGTTAATTTTATTCATCAGAGATTCCATTTCTTGTTTAGCCGAGTCGATTCGCTCTATTCTCTTCCTACGCGTCATTTCTAAAGACTCCGAGAGTTGTTTTCTTCTTGTCGCGTCATTGTGATCACGTGTTCAGTTGCCTCCGACACCTCTTGTTTAGCGATTGCGATAAACAATTCCACATCCACTGATGTTTTCTCTAATTATTTCAACTCTGCTCCAAACAAGTTTGCCCTTTCCTTGATGGTCTCGACAGCCGATAAGATGTTTTTCTTCTCCTTTTGCACTGCTTTTTCAAGCACATCAAATGCATGGCCTCGGTGGTCTTCCATGACGCAAATTGGAAAAAATACACACCTCACACGAGGAGCAGTAATATTGTACTCTTTCTTTCGAATGTTGCGAGCAAGTGTCCTGTTGTTGCCTTGGAATGGCATCGCGATCTTGCGCTTCAAGGAGCCCTAAGAGACTTTAGTGAAAAAAGCTGTTCAGCAAACGATCGAAGCGATTTTCTTTCTGGTAAATCTATTTCTGCCTGACAATCGGGGCATCGGAATTTACCTTGTTTCTGGTTCACTCTTGTGTGAAAACATGATATAGCTTTGGGCTCAGTGTAGGTATCGAGACAAATCGAGCAAGTAACTTGTTTCTTGAGACTCGTAAAGGGAGGATTCATAACGATCGCCTTAAACTGTAAGAAACGTATTCATTATTCAAGCCCTGTCAAAACACCCATACGAAATCAGAGATATTTCTCTGTTTCCGAGAAAACAACACAGACACAACAGACGTCTTTTGGCCAATCAAATACGAGGGCTTAGCTAACCTTTCCTTGGGACGTAATGATGAACAGACTTTGTTGTCTGAGGTATAACCTTCATTCTAAGACAGTCGTTAAATGGGTAACTTAAGGTGCTTTCAGATGAAAGCGATTAAAACAATAAATGTAACAAAGTGTGATTTTATGATAAATTAAATTGATCGTATAATTAAAATGAAATGTCGAATCAACCTTCGCCCAAATGTTCATGAGTTAAGGGGAAAAAGCAATGGCACTAGTCCAGTATGTGGGACAATTTTTTTGTTTCCCTAATTATTTGTTTTTTTCGTTGTTGTTGCTCAGTTGAGCTCGAGAGTAATAAGCCTACCTGTGGCCGTACCCTCCCCCCGCCAAGGTGAAACGGAGGCTTCCGTTTTACCATGGGGGGAGGGGGGGAAGGGTACGGCTACACGAAGGGTAGAGAGTAACAAAGGATTGTGTCGAGTGAGTTTATCCGTGGGGATCTGTTGGCAATAGAAGTTACTGATGTTTAATAACCTGAGTGCAGGTCCGGATGATCCGTTGAAGAGTTGTTTGTCTCTCGAAAGGTAACTTGCGATAAATTATTTTCAGTTTTCCTTGTTATACTCTCCGCCACTCGGTCGCAGCTTCCAACGTTCATGTTGCGCTTCTCAGAAAAATAAAGAAGACCCGCCGATCGCTGGTTAAATTATAGAATGTTTGATAGAACGAAAGCCAAAATCAGACTAATAACATTTGATTGGCAAACAACTCGTCTATTTACTCAAAGAATAACTTCTGCTTAGGATAAAGGAACGTCTGTCACTTTCACGGACAATATTGTGCTGAGATTTTCCTTTAAGTTCTCAGACTATTATCGGTGCGCATTTCGAGGAAGAAATTTTGCATGTAACTCCACATAAGGATGGATAATACTTACAAACAATTTAAACACTTGGCCTTTATTTCAAATTCCTAGAAAACAAGACAATATTCATTTAATTGGATCTTTTTCTGGCCTATCACGTTCCTTGGCTCAGTTGACGTAGTTGTAACTGTAGACTTTTATCTGCTGTTTTTTACTGAGGTGATTAATAGCTGTCGGACAGCTTTGTTTTTAGAAATTGTTAGTCCCTCGTTTGAGTGTTGATGTTAATAGCGGATCAAGAAGTCATGGATTTCTGAAGGGAAAGCTTCGGGGGCCCTATGGGTGGAAAAAATTTAGATGAGAAACGACAACTTGTTTTTTGCTTTCTTGTGGCGAGACATTCGACTATCTTTCCCATCTATCTTATAAGGAGTCTGTCTTGGATTAGTCATTCCCAGAGAGCTTTTAAAGTGCAGACAAGACGCTAATGTTTTTGAGGAAATCGTTCAGATACGGTAAATAGAAAATGAATTATTTTCTTTTGAAAAACTCGAAAGCTGTTTTTAAAGACTATTTCTATTTTTTAACATATGCTTTTCAATATCCTAGAATTTGTTTAATTGTCGAATCATTAAATGGTTATATGAAAACAAACTCATCACAGTTTTATGCATCCCACGTTCATCTCAACAAACAAAAATTGCCAAGGGGTATATTCCTTTCAACCAAAAGAGGATCATCCTCTCTTGTCTTAATCAAGACAAGCCTGGCAGACATAGCTTCATGCTACTCTGGTTTAAAGATTTAATGAATCTAACCGAAGAAGTTACCATTCACAGACCAAATGTTTCGACACTCCTGTCTAGTACCTTCATCAAATGGCAAATGGCTAGACAAAAACCTTCCTCCGTAACTGCCAAAGACCAGTTACAACTAGTAACACTCTTGATGAAAGGGAGCCAGCGACTGGTTTTGCTGTTATTCCTTACATTCAGGGTGTTGCAGAACCCATCAAGAGAATTTTGAATAGCCACAACGTTAAAGTTGCTCAAAAACCTTTTCAGACTTTGTGGCATATTTTCGCTAAACTTAAGGATCTTGTCACGAAAGAACAACGAACCGACGCCATTTATGTTATTCCTTGCAATGACTGTGACAACGAATACATCGGACAGACCAACGTCAGTTTGGTACACGTTTGAAAGAGCATCAAAAAGCGGTTTTCTTTCGCAAAAAGGAAGATTCAGCTTTATCGGAGTACACATGCCTAACTGACCATACAATTGGGTGGGATAATTCTAAAATTATCACCTCTAATCTGCGTTACCACCAGCGCCTTTGTTTGGAGGCTTAGCATGTTAACTCCGCCCACACTTCTTTAAATCGTGACGATGGCGGCTTGCTTCTTGACGCCTATTTACTCCTCGTCAGAAAAAAAGGCAGCTAATTAGTGATCATATATAAGGACCTCTTGTTGCAGCGTTTAGATCACCTTTGATGAAGGCACTAGACAGGAGTGCCGAAACGTTGGGTCTATGAATTGTAACTTCTTCGGTTACATTTATTAAATCTGTAAACCAGAGTAGCACCAAACCATGTCTAATTGTCCACCTGGTTGCCGTGTGAACTTTAATATATTAAAAACAAGATTATTTGTCCAAACTGACCCAGAGATTTCCTACAGAAATAGGTCCGCAATAGTAATTCATGTATATTTGTAAACGGAGACAAATTATGTGAGCATCAAATGAAGCAGGCAAAAAGTGAATTATTTGCGGTGATTTCTGATTTTCCATCGTGTTAATCGTTCAATAAGCACTTAAATTAGTTTGTCCCATTTAGTTTTGTACAAATGATTTAATTACTGAACAATGCACCTACGTTGCTGATGGTTTAGTGGCAGAAATGGGACGACAATTATTTCCAATCACGTTTTATTTATTTGTTTACTTGACAGATTTTTTATTTGTTTACTTGACAGATTTTTTATTTGTTGATAAATTTATTTGTTTATTTTCTATTGGTTTATCGTTATGTCTTTTCCTCACTAGGAAGGGTAAATTTTACTAGGAGAAGAAAATAACTGCGACGTTTCCTCTCTGAAACTTCTCTTTCCAAAATTTGCGCCTGTGATGAATGTACGTTTTACTGAAATAAAAGTATAATGTTTACGGCCAGGACTTCCATCAAATCTCGACCCATTGAAGAATAGACCTTAGGTTTAATTTGGTTTTTCCAGTGTAGATCATGTGATAATACGCAAGAGAACTGTTTCTTTCAAGTTTCGTCTTATACACATGCATATGTGCTACGCATAATTTGCAAAAGATAAAGGCTACAAAACATACTCGCCTAAGGGGCCCCTTGTAGCGAGATTTATTGCAATCTTAAAAGTTTCAAGGGTTTATGTGATCAAAAATCTTCTAGCGAGTTTATATAGGAATAAGTTTTTGCAATTTTGGTGATTACGGGTTTTGATACATTTGAATAAAAAGAAAAATGTGTTCAAGTCTGCAAGGGTTAAAAATTATGAAGCTAGTGACTCTTCACTATACCAAAGCTTATCCCAGTTTTTGTCGCTTGAGGAGAAAAGGGGTAAGAGTTTTATTGCCTCAGCTTCGGTTTCCTGATAGCCAATTATCTGAAATAACTTTATCTCGAAATTTTATTTATATTTAAAACTGGAAATCACTTCCTAATCATTCATAACAACAAACTGGAAATAACTTTTAAGTCTCATTTATTCAATGCATTCCTAGTTTTTCACGCCTTATTATATAGAACCAAATCTAGCAGTATTTTTCAAAATGGTTTAGAGCTAACACTTAAGCTTAGTTAGAAAATCAGTAACCACCTCTAATTATGACGTAATTACCCAGTAGATGACCATTTTTAAAAACGGTTGTCACCTTACCTCTTGCGCTTCTTGACTACTTATACATGTGAAATTTTGCAGTCATAAATCGTTCTTGAATTAAAGCTTAATTAAAGATATATTTTCTTAAAAAA